GGTTGCCCATGGTCCCGTAGGACTGGTGTGCTGGAGAGGCCGCCGGCGTGAGGCTCAGCTCGGGCTCCTGCAGGACGGTGGCCACGAAGAGCTGCGGCAGGAGACACAGCAGGGTCATGGCCAAGGGAACCGGGCTGGGCCACAGCCATCACTACAGGGCTTGGCGAGCAGGGAGCGTGCAGGCCCGGGCCCCTCAGGAGGAGAACTCACGTTGGAGTTGGGGGTGGAGGAGACGCTGCTCCGCTCCGTGTCGTTGAAGGCGCTGTCAGACTGGTCGGACATCTGGGGAAGAGGGAAGCAGGGAGGGAAGCGGCGGCCAGCCGGGCACCATTCTGCGCAGCCTCCCATCACCAGCGGCGTGGGCAGGAGGCCCTGCCACAGCGCTGGCCCCAGCAAACCTGGATTCCGCTGAGCAGGCCACGTGGCCCATGGCTGACCAAACCACCCTGCTATCTGCAAAGCAGAGCCAGGACAGCAGTTTGGGACAGGGATTGGCTGCCAGACCTGGTGGGCCTGCAGCTGTGGTACGGGGAAGGGTGGTGAGCACTGACTGTGTGCTGGGGTCTTTACGGATGGCAAGGGATCATCTGAGTGCCAAACCAGATCTGTGCCCTGGCTCTGGTCTGAGTGCCAAACCAGATCTGTGCCCTGGCTCTGGTCTGGCTGCAACCGAATCCTCTGGATCCTCTGCGAAAACTTACCCAGAGTTGTGGGAAAGGGACAAAGTGGGATGTTGGAGGAGCTGTGCCTGGCCCTGGGAACTAGACAGGAGGCTGCCCATGCTCACCTGGTAGCTGGAAGGTTTCCGTGGCTGCAGCTTCTTCAGGCAGAGGCCAAAGAAGGAGAAGATGATGCAAGAAAGAAGGACCACGAAAGTGAAGAGGGTAACAGGACGGGTAGGACCTAGAGCAGAGAGGCATGAGGACACCACATAAGCCTTCAAGGGCTGCTTGGAACTTACTGCACCTCTGGCTGATCCCCATGTTGGTGTCTGCTTTGGGAGCTGTGAGCTCTCACTCACCTCCCAAACACTAGCAGATACCTGCCCCTGCATCTGCTGGGCCTCCATCATTCCTTCCCCCTTCCCGTCCCTCATTTTCTAGGCTGTGCCTAACTCAGGGACGATGCTGGCTGCTTGTCCCATACAGCTTGAGACCTGTAACACTCAGAAATGGTGGGTGAGCCAGCCCCAAACTCTCCCTACCGAGGCGCAGGACGGAGAAGAAGAGCAGCCAGAACATGCAGAGGATGGGGGCCACCACGACCTGGCTGATGGCAGCAACATGGAGGCGCTGGTTCAGCTTGGTGGGGATGTACACGTAGTAGATGTTGTACCGGTCGACCATGTGCTTCAGCAGCATGTAGAGCAACCCTGGCAGGGAGGAAGAGGAGACATTTGGGGGAGCAGGATGAAGAGAGTCAAGGTGCGGGGAGACCAGGGCAGGCCCAGAAGACAGCATGGGAGGGCATCCTCAGGCGTTGAGGAAGCCTGTGCCCCCCCGCCACTCCAGGCGACTGAAGCAGGCTGTGCTCAGCACAGACAGGGGCTGGAAGAACGGGAGACTGCTACTCACCGAAGGGGACAATGATGGGGCAAGTGATGCTGTAGGTCATGACAACTGAGAAGATGCAGCAGGTCCAGGCGTACTCCAGCCCAAACTGGAACTGGTAGGCTTGGCTCTGAGGCACAACCAACAGTTCCGTTACTTTCCTGCTTCCATGTTAGACGGTGTGAAAGGTCAGGGCCCTTTGGTCCCTCCTGTAGGGCACTGACAACGCTGGATGCAGAGCAGACCCAGAAATGGTGGGTCCTGCACAGAATGCACTGCAGCCAGCAGCTAGTCCTTGGCCTCATAGAACTCCTGGTGAGGAGCCTCTCCATGACAAGCCCTGCAGAGCTCAGCCTGCTACGAGCCCCTCACACAGAGAGGCACCGTTGCTTTGCAGATGGTTCTGGCCTCTCCAAACCCACATATCTGCACACCTCACCACCATGGGTACAGAGACAAGCCCAGCAGTGCCCTCTGTGCAATGGCCTGTCCCCACACATCTCCCCATAGGACTCAGAAAGCTTGACTTTCCAGCTAGCCCCTGGCAACCGAACATGACCTTGGCATGCCATGGGGGCTGTCCGTGTACACATGCAGCCAGAACCATGTACCCGCTTGACGTGGAGCCGTTCGGGCTCAGATTTGGCGAAGCAGAGCCGGGTGGTGTAGACAAGGAGGCCAGGGATGCGCAGCAGCTCCATGGCCGTCCCAATCAGGCTGGAGGTGACGACGTAGTTGACAAAGAAAGCGCCATTGTCTGGGAGGAAAACGCACCTGCTCCCAGAGACAACAAGGGAAGACAGTGAGGCCACACAGGCTGCCAAGAGCGCCAGGAGGGCAGGAGGCAGCTGGGGGTGGCATCGGCCTCTCCCCACTCTCCCAGAGCACTGAGTGGACCAGTGCAAGTCAGGGAGCTCTCTGGTACTCACTGGAACTTGATATCGGCCTCATCCAGAAAGTGCATGTCAAAGAGCCAGCGGAAGAAAAGATCCAAACTAGGGAGAAGAGATGAAGAGCAGCTTAGAAAGGGAGGAGAGAAATACAGGGGATCATCCAGAAAGCATGTGCTTTCCATGTGCACAGAGCCAGTTCACTCAAAGGCAGTTCAAATGCTGTTATTTCAGGATCCATGAACCTGGATCACGTTTCACAGGAGAGCACAGTTGGCACAGGGTGGCTTTGCAAAGGATCTAGCAGAGTGTTGTCCTATGCCCACCTACACAGCCCCTGCGGCACAGAGAGGCTCTGCCACTGGCTCTCTGGCTTGTGCGGGGCTTTAGAGATAAATAAACAGCACATTGCCATGGAGTTAGCAGGCTGGTAGGCTCCACAGCTATTCTGCTCCCTTGCAGTGAACTTTTCTGTCTGTGATGGTGCTGGAAGCGGCTGAGCACAGCTGAAGAGTAAGCATAATCCTCCTCACACACAGCTGCTTTTCAACAGCAGCTGAAATGACTCCTACCTCTTAAACTTTTTAGGCTCATTGTCAAACAGGGAAGGAGTCTGTGCGTGATCCCTAGCCTGCAGGTGAGCAAAGAAAGCAGCTTGGCAGGTTGGCCAGTACCTGGTCAGCCCCAGCGAAGGCAGGATGATGACCATAAACACCAGGAAGAAGAAACACTTGTGCATTGTGAGTTGATTTTCACTTGACCTGGAGAGAGGAGAAAAAAAGAGAACAACTTTGCAATTCTTTCCAGAGCAGAACTTTCCAGAGGCAGATCAGGAGATCAAGATGCAAGAAGAGTGCCAAGGGCCCTAGAGTACCAAGGCACTGCCACTAGCTACAGGAAGCAATGTACATTTGGGCTGTGTGAGAACCTTTCCCCAGGCTGTGGGGGAATCACCACTGGGAAATGAACTGTCATGAAAGCTCTTGCTCTCTCAGTCTCACAACCCTCATTCCTGCCTCCTCCCAATACAGCATTTGCTGGTCATGTATCCTGTGCAGGTGGCTGGCCCAGCAAGGAAGCTGGATCTCCATCCTGGGTGTAGAAGCCAGGGACACTTTTTCTGCCCTTGGGAGGAGGCAGGAAAGATGGATACGGGCAAGGGATTCAGGCTCCTGCAAAGAGGGGACTAAGTAGACCAGGCATGGGGCTGGGGCTGAAAGTGTCAAGACAGAGGAAGCAAAATGTAGAAGCTGAGCAGCAGAAGCACTTTCTCTGCTGAGGCTTTGAGCATCCTTAATCTGTACCTTCACCTTGGAGGCCTGGAAGTATGGCTGGGGCGTGCCTCTTAGAGCAATAGCCCTGTCTTTGCAAGTCCCTTGTCACACCATCCATTTTGCTAATGTCTTCACACCCTCATAAAACCAGCTTTGTTTGCACTTCTTGGCATCTTGAACATGTTCATGGCAAGGAAATGGCTCCTTGGGCACGAGCTGGAGCCCTTGCAGACAACATACTGTGGAGATCTGCCAGTCCCACTGCCTGTCTCCCTGCAGGTTGGGTCCAAAGAGTCCTCCTGAGTCCTCCTGAGGCTCTTTCCATCTAATTCAGCCCTGAGTAACTAGTGGGGAGTGGGATCCTGTTACCTTGTCCAGTGTGACTCGAAGAATGCAGAGTAGTAGACAATGAAGGGCAGGAAGACAGAGAAGGCCCAGAGCAGCAGTGTAGGGCAGAACTGGGTAATGATGGGATTCTGCAAGAGGAGAGATGTCAGACACCCGCTTAGGGGCATGCCAGCTTCAGGAAGGAACAAGCTAACTAGCACAGACACCGAGCCTCAGGTATGCATGGAGGCGCCAGGACTCTGCCATCAAAAACACCTAAGGAGACTGGGAGGATGGCAAACAGTGGCACAAGCCCTCCTTGCCTCTCCTCAATGACTGTCCCAGTAATGCTTTGTCTCCTTGGGTCAGCACAAAGCCTGGGCCCTCCCACAACACAAACAAGGCTGTGAGACACTTTGAGGCTGGCACTGATCCCCGTTCACTACCTTGAGGCTCTCCACAGGCCGTGTGACATTGAACATGTCCATGGTGTTGACGACGATGGCCGGTGTGGTAAGGAAGAAGAGGAGAATGAAGAGGCAGATGTTAAGGAGGACAAATCGCACCCACCATGATGTGCCACGGACAGATAAATTCTCCCTATGAGAGAAAAGTATCTCTTAGACACAGAGCAGAGGACAAGCCATGCAACCTTAGGCCTCCAACCGTGCCTGTCAAAATGTGCTACTATGCTACTTCCCTATGCTACTTCCCCTTCCCTTCCGTCTTGCTGTATGCACTGGTCAAAATGTGCTACTATGCTACTTCCCAGGTCTTGCTGTATGCACTCACACTCCTGGTAGCCCTTCTCTGAGCCCACCATCTCCCTGTTCCTGGATCTACTGCATCACTGCCATCAGAGCACCCAGGACTTGAGTATTACAGCAGGAGCAGCTCCACACCACCAGAGAGACTCTGGAGAGGGAGCCAGAGAGATCAGAGACTGGCAGTCACCAGCAGCTCTTGTCAGGCCAAGTCCTGGTGATTTCTGCTAAAGCTACAGAGAGAGGGATCTTCAATCCCTGCCCACCTTGGGAAGATGCCCTGTAACTATAGCCACAGATTCCCCCTCTGTAAGGCTGTTCTCCTTGCTGTCCCAGCCTGCAAAGGTATTTACCATATGATATCACTGGGTGCAGGTGCATAGCAAACACCCCAGTGGTGTGACTTGACCACTGTAGTCACAGAGGATTGCTGGGGATGCTTACGACAGTGGATGCGACCATAGTCCTTCAAAATCCTGCAGAAGAAAGGCAAGGGAACAGGTCTGAGCCAAGGGCTTCCCTCCCCTTTTTGTCACACCTTTCCCACAACCCCAGGCTGCGATGCTCTTGCAGAGCAGTCACTGTCTTCATCTGGGATACAGAGCTGGGACACATCCACCACTGTCTTTGGCTGACCCCAGAGGCAGTGGCCCCAGTGCCACTTCACCTCCAGCCTGGCAGCAACAGGGTGTACATGCTCGGACCAGAAGGGTCACAGCCTCCCCCTCGCAGACAGGTACTCACACAGCTGTCATCCTCTCATCCTGGAAGGTGACGAAGGCCATGTCGAGACGCTTGAGCGTGATGCGATTGCGCTCAGCGTTGAACTCGTCAGTGAGTTTCTCCTCCAACTCTCCATAGTACTGCTCAGCATCCACCTGCAGGCAAGGTCGCTTTGCAGAGCTCTCCTTGCTGAGGGCAAGGGAGAAGCAGACGGAAGGCAAGCTCACAAGCACCCATCCATCACCAGGGCCCCCTAAGCATGCAGAAGGGAGAGGAGTTCTGCCTTCCCATGCCCAGCTGAAGAGAGATTGTAATCTTAGATTCAAGAGCTGCCAAATCCCATTCAGGGGGTGCATCAGCCATCATGGGCAACACGTGCAACCTGCTGCATTTCACGCCAGCTTCTCTAGCAGATACTGCTTGCAAAAGAGTGGCAGAAGCTGTGTCACAGAGGCAGCAGTCTAGGCTGCAACAGGAAGCTGAGGGCTTTTCAGTATCCATCAAGGCCTCAAAGGACAGTGCTGGAGAGAAGATACTCCTGGGTGTCCTGATGCCTGCAAGGGGCTCTAGGGATTCCTCAACCCTGATGTTTATGGCAAGAGGAAGATTTCTGAGCAGTCCATCAGCAATCAGTGTGGCAGGTGAAGGAAATCTCTTGGGGAGGCTCTCCTGCCCTGGGGCAGCCCCTGGCCTCTGTGCCAAGAGAGGCGCTGTCTCCAGCCCTGCCCGCTCCCCTCCTACCTGCTCAAAGCCACAGATGCGACAGCAGAAGATGCGGGCACAAGGGTGAGTTTTGATCATGATCTTCCCTTCTTTCTGTGCCTTGGTGGTGAAGTAAAGCCGTCCCTTCATTGCCTTGCGCCTGTCAGGAACAGGGCCAGAGGGGATGTTTTTTCAGGGAATTCCCCTCTATCTCCCCCAAGGAAGAGAGAGTAGCTCTCTGAAGTTGTTGGGCATGAGCCACCTCAGGCTTCCACAGGCTCATTGCCAGCTCAGGACCGCTATGGCGGTCAAACTAAGGCCTGAGCCAGCCATCCCCCCATGACAGGCAGGCTCTCTCCAACTCAAGGGTGCAGCTTTGCTGGATCTTGCAGGTTGCCTGAGCATTGCCAGCAAAGCCGTGGAAACCTGCCCACCAGCTGCAAACAGCAAGGCTCCCCAGGGCATGAGAAAGGCAGAGCTACGGGCCAGCAGCCCCAGCACACACTCACCTCTCCGCATCCAGCTTCATGAGCTTGCGCACGTCGAAGCAGAACTGGACATTGGTGACCGTGCAGCTGGGGTACGCCTCACTGCAGATATGGAGACACAGTGACAGCAGGAGCCAGGGCACGGGGATAGCCTCCCCTCCCCAGGGCCTGGGAGCGCACTACCAGCCCCCTGGCAGCCCCAGCAGGGCCAGCTGGACTGGCAGGGCCCACCAACCCCGCTAAGACCCCTGCTCAGGCAGCATGAGAAGCAGCAGTTGCCTTCTGTGCACCAGCGTGGAGCCAACTGCCTGCAAGGCTGTGGCATGTTGCCTGCTTTCAGCACAGCATGGGCACTAGCCACCCTGCTGAGGGGAGGCTGGCATATGGTGCTGCTCACTGGAAATGCTTGATGATCAGGGAAGGGTCCGTTATCTCCTTGGGAATCCGGGTGACCATCAGCGTTCGAGCAACCTGCAGGAGAAGGAGGTTTGGTGACGGATGGGGGCAGATGGGCTACTGGACATCTCACTGCCATCCTGCTTGCCTGCACTATGGCCAGGGTCACTACTTCCACCATATGGATGGGGAAGGGATGCACACAAGTGGAAGAGAGGAGACTCAGGATTCTGCTCTCATAGGGTGACAGAGATAGGAATCCCTCATAGCATGATCCCTCATTCCCCACCTACCAGGAGCGCTGGCTGCCAGCATGCATTCTGAGTCAATGCAGACCACTCCAGGAGCACTGAACATCACAGCCTCACAGAGGCTCAGCCTCAGTAACAAGGCAGCAATAAGAAACAGTTTGGCCTCTGGCCTGCCAGGCTTTCTCCATAAACTTGAGGAAATCCACCTAATCTTTCCCTGTCTGCCCCATGCGAAACTGCTAGTAAAGCTCTCCTTATACATCAGGACCATCCTTCCTGTAAAGCACACATAGCTGTCTGTCTGTGCTGAGAAAGGCAGAGATGATGGCTAGCATAACGTGGGAGTTGCTCACCTTCTCGTTCTCCCTGTATTCGAGATGGACAGAGTGATGAGCCATGCAGAGAATGGTAAGGATGAAATAGATGAGGGCGAAGATACTGTGAAGCCACAGGAGACGGTCCCTGGAAGAAAGAAAGGCTGGATCAGCCACCCATGCAGCAGGTGCATGTCACACAGACCAGCTCAGTGCTCGGCACCATACACATCACTGTCCAGCCCTCCCAGCCCTTACAAGGACCAAGACACATTCCTCAGGGGACTGAAGGTGCTGCTTCCATGGTGCTAGCTGAGATACTGTAGAAATGAGGCTGCCCAGGCCACTCCTGACACAACCTTTGCCAGTAGTAGGGGTGTAGCAAGCAGTGCGAGCGTGCTGGCTACAACGACCGTGCTTGTGCGCAGTGCAAACAGACACACGGACAACTGCGAGTAGCGTGCTGCTCACATGGACCAGCCCCAGGCACGGTCAAGGGGCTATGCTGAGTGCGAGGCCTTGGCGCTCCCAGCAGTGCTAAACACAGCAGCAGCAGCACACACAGTCCCCCAAGACATGGGAGCCACCACGTACTGTGTTGGGATGTTGGCGATGGTTGTCCGCCCGAAGTGGGTGGGATTGTTTCCTGCAAGAGAAGAGGAGAAGCAGGGAGGTTACAAGACTCCTGTGCAGCCTGTGTGCTGACGGAAACTGCTGTGGGGTCCCATCTTTGCTCCCTGGTCTCCACTTGTCTCCCAGCTCCTTGCCAAGCCCCTGCCACCCCGGAAGGTCTTGAGCCTCTTTCATTTCTTCTGTACTGCAACAGAACCTGATCCCTGTCTACGGGGCTAGCTCAGCACAGCCTGTGCAGGATCAGCCCTCCCAATAGCTTAATTCTGCTCAAGTGTTGGCTCATGAGAGTGTGGTTCTGCCCCCCGTCCCTGCAGTGCACACTGCTCACCCTAAGGCTGGGGTTGCTTATACTACACCCCTGAATCACCCCAAGCTGGGGAAGCACCTACCCAGGAGGTCCCCTGAAAAGTTGACAGGCAGGATAACAGCCACAGAGAGCACACAGACCAGCATGAGCAGGACCAGAAGATGTCGCTGGAAGGAGAGGTATGTGGTGGCATCGATCCCACATTTACTCTGAATCTCCTCATCCCTGAGGAAGAGAGGTAGGTGCAGGTTAGTGCTGGTGGTGCTTCCTCCCCTCCTCCTCAACTGCCACCCCCTCCCAGCCCCAGGGACACTGGCTGCTCCAGCTTTGCAAAAGCCACAGAAACTCATGGTGTCTTGCTTGTGGCATAGGAGATTTGGGCATGGGAGAAAGGGGGAGGAAAGAGCCTTCAGGCTGACAGCCCACCACAGGACTTGCTCTTACTAGACAAGCTTAAAGGCTTTTCTTTTGGTACATGAGCCTGGGCACAGCGGAGCCACAGAGAATGCACAGAGAGGAGCCCTCTGATGCCTCTCTCTGCTGGGGTGTTTCAGCAGAACTGTCTGCTCTCCCCCGTCTCTGGTCCCTGTGGGAGCTCGCTTGGTGGTGCTGAGTGTTGGGTGGCTCCACAGCCAGTGACCACCTGTGGGCACCAGCTACCTGGGATGAGCAGTGGTGGGTACCACCAGCAAAGGCAACGCCAGAGGCACCTACTTACTTCATTTGGTAGATAGAAATAAGCCAGGAGCAGAATCCCTGAAAAGGAAGAGAGTGAGGATGAGCTGGGGGTGACTACCCCAACCTCCCCATGTAACACTGGGCTTGGGGCTGAGCCATGCTCTGCTCTCAGCCAAGCAGATGGAGAGCACAGGGCTCTGCAGGGACACCCGCAGGGGCTGAGCTGCACTAGTGGCCAAAAGCAGATGCTGGAAAAGAACAGAAAACGTGGTGATATTTGTGTCAAGGATTCATAAATTCTCTTCTCTGTGTCTTTGCTCAAAGTGCTTTTTTTGACCATGACTGACCACTGAACCAGCACTGCCATAGGTCAATATAGGACACTGCCAAGATCTTGTTCTTCACTAGTAATAGCTCTGAACCTCACGCTGCATGTAGTATTTGATTTTTTCCCTATATACTTTATTTCATTTAGCTCACTTGAGCTCAGAGCCCTTTTGCAGTCCTCTCCATCACAGCTGTACATCAGTACACTCTGCTTCCCACTTTGCCCCCTTTCCAGCTAATTTATGAAGACTAAAAAGAAAAGCCCCAAGCAGATCCCTGGGGGAGCCTTCCCCCTGGGAATGTTAATGACTTATTCCTCCTCTTCATTCCCTGACTCTCTCCATTCCATGACCTTTCCTACTCCACAGCTGAGCTTCTTTTGAATAACTGCAGCAGGAGACTTCAGAAATCCAAGCAGACTCCACCAAATCTCCTCCTGTCCCATGTGTCTGGCTGGCTCCCTGTAGCTCTACGGCCTGATTGCCTGTCAAGAAAGCCAAACTGACTCTCCTCATATGTGATGCTCAGTAGTTCTGTGCAAAACAATTTCTAAAAATTCCTCCATTTCTCCATATGGATGTCAAACTCACTAGTCTGTAATTTCCTGGGTTTTACCAGAAACCTTCTTGAAAAAAAAAAAAAAACACCATTGTATTAGGTAATTTCCAGCTCTCTAGGACTTCCAATTTCAAGAGAGAGATTATGCACTACAGTTAATAGTTCAGCAATTCATCTCAGAGGTCAGTGAGAACTCTCGGGTGAATGCCGTTCTTGAAAATTTGTTCTAGCAACAATAATTCATTAGGTTGTGTTTTCTACAGCCTTATTCTTCCAACCCCATTTTCAGACAGATCCTCCAGAATATCCACCCAAACACAGAAGGGATCCCCTGCGGGAACTTCTTCAAGCCCTTCTACACTGAATACAGACACAAACTTAGTCTAGATTTCCTGCTACAGTCTTACCTTCTCAAGCAACCATTTTCTACCTTGAACATGTATTGATCCTATCAACACTCTTGCAGGTTTCCTGTTTCTGATATTTTTGAAGAAAAAAAATAGCATTTGTTTTTATACTTCTAAAAATTTCTCCTCAAAATCAGTTTTTCCCCCTCCTGTCTCATTCTGTTTTACATGTAACCTGTCAGAGTTTAGATTTTCTATTTTGAAGCACTTTAACTTTTTAAAGTCTGCCTAAAGTCTACCTAGTAATCTCTCTCACCCTGCTGTTTAGCCATGCTGGCTTTCCTTTTGGTCTTTCTCAACTACTTTTAATGAGTAGAACATCCTTGCCCAGAGCATCTAGTACAGCATCTTTAAATAGTCCTTCTGCCACCTGCAAATATGTTACCTCTTTGGCCTTCCTGACTAGTTTTATTTTTAAATATATTTTTTATACAGCAGCGACTGAATTATCAGCTTTTATTGCCAGAAAAGGAAGATAAACAGACTGTGAAACATATCAGTCCATGTTTAATGCTAGTGAAGACTGTTTTGTGTCTAATGCCACACAGGGAAAAAAAAAGACAACTTCAAAAGGATGCACCTGCAGCTCACTAATACCCCGAGGTGGACTTGTGGGCAAAGGGAGTGGGCAAAGCTCCCAGGGGCTTGCAAGGAGGGAAAACTACAGGCCAAGGGACTTGCCTGACCTCACTCTTCCTCCAGAGCACGACTTGACTGCTTCGTGTCCCCTGTGCTTTGTGGGGAGCAGGTGCCTTTCAGGAGCCATGGAGAAAAATTCCCTTTCCCACAGGGCAAGGCTGCAGGGCAGCTCCCTATAGCAAGTACAAATGGGCTGTACCCTGCAGCAGGACTGGGCAATCAGGGGAACATCATCCCTCCAGGGGAAGAAATGTCCTTGCAGGAGCACAAAGCATGAATGTACGAAGGCAGCGCGCTCTGACTGGGTCCCTCCAGCCAGCACCAACAGCAACACAGTGAGGGATGGAGACCCTGTCAGGAAATGTCCCCTCTGAGCTGTCCCTCATGGTAAGTGCCCAGAGAAGCACGATAAACCAGGATCAAGAAATCCTTCAGCTTTTCCTGGCACACAAAGAGCAGCTCCCAGGGCTGCTGCTAATGGGTGTAAAACAGGAAACATGGTGTTGGAGAGTTTAACCTCTCACTGTTAACCTCTGACCTGAGGTTCCTCCAAATAACAGTGTCTCCTTGGACAGGACAGAGCTGGCTTCCTCACTACATCCTGTGAGTACTCACCACATCCTTGTTGTCCGTGTCCAGGGGGCTGGTCTCAGATGGGGACTTCTCTTTCTCACTCTGCTCGCCATAGAAAAGCGATGTCAAACTTTGAAAGGAGAAGGAGAAAGGAGAGGGTGAGGTATGAGAGAAGAAATAGAAAGGAGAGAAACAGCACCCTTGTAAAAGCAACTTGGCCCCTGCCCTCCTTGAACTTTTCCTGGGAAATGAGCCAGGCTGAAATAGGTTTTGTGCACAACAGGCTCAGTGGGAGGCGGACATGTTTGGGTTTGAAGTTATCAGGTTTGATGAGTGAACACACAGGCTGCTCAGGAGGGAGCCTGCGCTGGGAGGCAGGATTGTTTGAAGCACACAGGAAGGGCACCCTCAGCCCTTCGCATCCTCTGGGAAATGCCTGTCCGTCCCTACACATGCCCTGTGCCGGTGCCTGGACACACACAGTGCCCAGAGGGAGGCCACCCCACGCTGCCCGACAGCCAGGGCCCACAGCAGGTTGCTTGAGGAAAACTGCCTTAGCTCAAGGACAAGGGCCCAGTGAACTGGATTTTGACATTCCACTGGCTTCAGTCCCCTTAAATGCCATTACAATAAAGGAATCTTAACCAGATTTTGCATTTTAAATCTTGATTCCTCTTTGATCCTCTCAGTGAAATAAAACACTGCTCATCCATTTCCAGACTTCGACCCAGAGCCCAAGTCCACTCCTGGGTGCCCTCATGCCTTTCTCACCTATCATTGTCCATCAGCAGTGCCAGGCGGCCATAGTCCCAAGCTGCTTTCCGAAGGCAGGAGAAGACCAGAAGGAGAAGCTGCAACAAGAGTAAAAAGGAAAGGTGAAGGGTCTTGCTGTGGGATCCGTTTCTGCTTTCCTGCGTATGGGCCCAAGCACACACAAAATTTGCCTCTCAAGCCAACCCCCTCCTGCTCCACGAGCAACCACAGATGCTGGAGGATGGCAAACACAGACACTGACATAGCACAGGGGCCCCACACATCTCACACACCTGTACCATGACAGACCCCTGCAACAGAGGGCAGCTACACCTGAGGTTACAACTGCCACAGCATGGGCAAAGCTGCTGCCTCCCTGTGCTGTACGATCACCCACACTGCCCCAAACAAAGGCCATGCTGGTGCACACACGGCCTGTGTGCTCAGAGCCAGGCTCCCCTTGGGGACACTACATCCACACACAACCTTAGCCACAAAACTAAGTCCACTCCTTTGCCTGCTGGTCTGCCATCATTCATGGGATGAGTAGTGGATACTCCTGTGTACATGGGTGGCTCAGACCCTTTCCCACTGCGTCATGTCACAGGGTTCGGAGCAAGCAACACAGAGCATTGCTGCACTGCACTATCCCGCAGCACCAGTGAGAGGGATTTACTAGACTCAAACACCAAATCCCACCATAGCAAGGGCCATCCTACAGAATCAGAAGGTCTAGAAGGCTAGTTTGAGCACACCAAACTTGGTAGCAGGACATTAAGGGGCCACAACACCTTTGGCCACTTTCTTCCTAATTGGAGCATTGCCTCCAATTAACACATGACAAAGAAGTATCAAGAGGGGTTCATTCAGGACACAGCCACTGCACAAAATGCACTCCGGGCTGTCTCCTCTTAGAGTCCTGGATATGGGGACTGTGCTTGCTGCCCAAAGAGGCCATCTCCAGCCCTGATGCCTTGTGTTCCTCACAGAACTCTGTGGGTATGCAGAGTGGTACCCACAGACATGGTGCCTTCAAGCCCCACTGACCAGCCAGAGGATGAAGTTGATGGCGAGCACAGTGGGCACACCACCGAAGGGCAGGCCTTGCAGGACAGTGCTGCGGGAGCGGGCACTGAAACATTGCTCCTCTGTGCTGTTCGCCAGGGTGTCCAGGAAGCCGAGCACATCCAGCGAAGTGGGGCTGGCACCACCCGGTGCTGGCTCCACCGAGTACACGCTGTCCATTGGTGCTGCAGTGGGGTCTCAGCCTGCAACAGAAAGGCTGGGGTGAAGCTTTTGCTGGAAAAGGGGCTATAGCTCCTGCAGGTCCCCACACAGGAGCTCACTAAGAGCAGGGAGGGATGGAGCTGGCTTATGGTCTTGCAGAAGCAAGAAAGCAGAAATGTCAGAGCGATCAGAACAGAACTAATCATAGAATCTTTAAGGTTGGAAGGGACCTTTAGAGATCATCTAGTCCAACCCTCCTGCGCATGCAGGGTCACCTAGAGCACGTGGCACAGGACTGCGTCCAAGCAGGTTTTGAATATCTCCAGAGAAGGAGACTCCACAACCTCTCTGGGCAACCTGTTCCAGTGCTCTGGGAGTGCCCACGCTCCCACCTTCTCCAGCTTCCCTTCTCCCACGGAAGGGCTGTGAGACAAAGGGCAGGAGAAGGCTGAAGAAACACCACAGTTACTTCATTCACTTTCCCCGCCCCCTTAAACCCCACGCTATTTGGTTGTTTCCATCATACCTGAGACAGGTCTTCCACCACCTCTTCTTCTCATTCCTGGAAGTTGCGTTGAATCACAGCCACCCTGGCGCAATCAGCAGACTGGAGCAAGGAACATTTGCTTGAACTTCTGTTAATAAGAGCAGTGACAACATTAGCAGGGGAGCTGCTGGGGCTGCACTTGCTTTGCTCCCCTCATCCAGAAAGCTGCTGTTCGTGGGCCTTCCAGCAGTCCCTTCTCCTCTAGCATCACTGCTGGCATGGTTTGAAAGTCATGGGACATCGCTTCTATCTTCCTGCCAGAGCAGGACTGATACTTCCAGGACACACTGAAGCCTTTAAAAAATCAGCTTCTCAAAATCTTAGATGTCAAGGTTCTCCTCACTTTGCCTGAGTGCTGATAGCATGGCCTACAGATGTCACTGAAAGGAAATGCTTTATTGCTCTTCACTTTCTATAATTTCATCCCTTTCTCCCTGGTGCCCTCGAATGCTTCCCTTTTTGCCCTGAGATTTCTACTTCTACTCTACCTGGACTCTCCTCAAGGTGGCAGCTTTCCATACTGACACAAAATGAGCCTTTTCAACTCTCCTTCATGCTCTAGACACCCCTGTTGCTTCAAGACCTTGTCTAAAGCCTCTTACATGAGTGCCATGCACTGCAGACCCGCTATTGTGACCACAGCCTGTACAAAAAACACATGAAACATCTCTATGCCCATTAACATGGACTCCTGTGAGTGGCTGTATTCAAGCAACTGGGCATTCATTCATCTCCCCTTTTTAATCTATATTCCAGACGCAAACAGGTCTCCACTACAACCCTTGCAGTCACCTAACAAAAGTTGATCTCTGTTGCAAGATGCTCATAATCCACATAGACAGGACAGACAAAGAGAAAGAGGAGCCACAGACTGATTCAGCAGTAAAGGAGGATACAAAGTCCTCGGTGGTTTGGACATGCCAAGTACAGGTGGTGTTTTTTCCCATCAAGACTGAACTGGATCCATTCTGCTTGAACACCAAAAGAAACCTGACTGAGAGACCCTTGGGGAGCACAGAAAGAATGCACACAAAATGCCTCAGTCTAGAAAGGGGATCTTCTTCAGGTCTACAAGGATTTGCTTTTGTTGGGAAGTATTTACTTCTGCTGTGCCAGTGTGACAGATGGGGGACTACATTAGCACATGGTTTTATGTGCACTATTATAGTCAGTCTCTTGCTTGTGGATATTATGGTCCCGAGCTAAAGTTCTTGAGGAGACAGGACATGTCCCTCTCCTGCTAAGCAGAGCAGGTAGGAAGTGCATGCTGGGGTGACACAGATTCAGGCCTGAAATACTGACTGCCTTTACCCTCTACATCCAGGGCAAGGAAAAATAGAGAAAGAGGGAGACTTTCAAACAGAAAGTTGACAAAAAATGTGCTTGGACAGTCTGATGCAGTCAGGCGGACATCATGGATTCTTAAGGATATCTTAAGAGTTTGGGCTTGAAGAACTAGTCTAGAGAAAAACCTTCACTAGAAGCCATAGAGTTGTCAAGGGAGCTTGGACTAAGGCTATAGCTCATCAATGTCTGAGGCTCTCCTTACTCCACATTTAGACAGATATCTGGCTGCCTGCATAGATGCCTTAAAGAGATGTTAGAAACTGATGAACTACAAGCATCAGGGTCCCCAGGACACACAGACCCATAGCAGTCATTTGTTACTGTATATCCGGTATGTTGTCACCTGGGGCACTGGATTCAGCTTCTGCTACAGATCTTGTTGCTTGCAACATTTTTACTTCTCCTTGCAGGTTATCCAGCCATGTATGCCTTGATTTGACTGGTCTATGGAGGTCTGGTGACATCCTGGCCCAAACCAGAATGGCTGACAGGGTAGCTCCCAAAAGAAGAACTGCCAGGTCAGCCACCGGGCTGGGCTGATAGCTGCTCCTGGAGGGCATGCCAGTAGGGTCAAGGCTGAGGTACCATCTCTGGTGCCATGTATGACGTAAAGCCTTCCCATAGTGCCCCCTCTAACCACAGCTTGCATCTCAACCAGGATAGGGAAATCCCAAGCTTTGAGGGCCAGTGTAACGCAGATGCGATAGCAACTTCTGAAAAGTGAACTCCGGCAAGGGGCATCCTGTGGGAAGTAAGTGTAAGAGCCACTGTGATGAGCTGCAGCCATCCCCCTCCAGCCCAGCTGCCTCCCGCTCGCTGTGAACCCTCCGGGGCAGCCAGGGGCCCTGGCCAGGACCAGCCCTCTCCGATGGAGATGCTCTCAATCTGCTCTTCCTTGTGTGCATGTCTTCCTCCCTCCTACCCTCATGTAAACAGCAGAGCCACCACCATCTGGCACTTTCAGCTGCTAAATAATTCACTGCCTTTTTGTTAACATGGAGATTGTGTCTGTGACCGAGGGAACTGTTGGACCTTCAGCAAATAAACAAGGGGACTCCTAGCAACCTCTAAGTCCCTTCTTTGCCACCACGCCACTGCCCAGGGCTAAGATCCCTAGTCACTGTGCTCATGCTCCTAGGAGAAGCACCACAGCATGACCGGGAGAAAGCGCGCCACAGGGAACCACGTCTTCTCCTGTCAAGCTGTCATTGCTGTCCCCTTTCCTCAGTAGCAGATTACATTTTTTTCCCAGTGGACAAAAAGCAATGGGTTCCTTGTGCAGATGCTGCTAGTGACCCTGCTCTCCTGTGCACATGCAAACCTGTCCAGTGTTTCTTCCCCAGTGCAAACTCAGTCCAGCCAACTCTCAGCTCTTCCCTACCAAATCAAACATCACTTTTTTTCCAATGACAGCCTCACTGCACAAAGACATTTTAGGGACTCAAGAAGAGTCCTGAAGTCAGAGGTTTATCTTCTTTGCCTCTCTTCCAGGTAATTCCAACTCCACTGCCCAAAGGAGCTGCCACACCATACAGTCCCATAGTGTAGCCCCTACAGAAATTTGCAACTCCTCCAAAGCCGACCTCAAGCTCATTTTCCTGCCTTTGTCCAGGGCCCTTCACCCCCAGATATCCATGGACAGGATACCCATCTCCAAATATGCCACCAGGATACCAAGCAGTTCCTCCCTAGATCATGTGTTTCAGCTAATCTCACCTTTTTGGTGCTGATCAGATAGAAAATGCAAATTACATAACAGCAGTTCTATAATTAAAAGTAACCACTGGGAGCAACCAGACAAGTAAATACGTAAATGTTATAGGAACAGCTCATGTAGCAAAAAAATGGCAAGAAGATTTTCTGCTCATGCACTCCAGCAACAGCTTGACCTCAGTCCTGTAGGACACGCTCAAGCTTCTTTCAAATGGAGGAAATATAGTAAAGAATAGTACTTTGTAGTGAAACATACAGAGAGAAACACATGGACACTGTGGGTCAGATGTAAGGCTACTGTCAAAACCCTTAAGCTAATTTTTTACATTGAGCTTATGAGATAATGCAGCATTTTGAAATACCCTGGTAAAAGCACTCTGCAACCTTATCTTAAAGGTCCAAGCAAGCAAAAGATTGAATCACTAGATCAGTTTCTATTTTGGTCTACATCACTGATGGTGTCATTTTGAGCAAAACCCTTCCCCTCACAGTTCTTTTCCCTATTTTTAAGAAGCGGAAAGGTAGTAATGGTGTGAAAAACAGGGCTGAGTGGGCGAATTCTCATCCAGAAGAAGTTGCAAGCACTTCCCATTAGCTGGAGAGGAGACAGTAGTGCCACACGTCAATCAAAGACAAGAATCTCTTTGCTGCCCTGAAGTAATAACAGTGACAGTCAATTGAAGAAACACAGTAATGGGCAGGATTGCATCTAGGAAAATGAAGCAATAATATACAGGCAGAAATTACAACTGTCAACCCTACCCAGTCAAGGTCTTACTTAAAGGAAAGACACTATATTAGGATCAGGAAATGTGCAGAGGAATAGGGAAAGGTTATCTTTATCTGTCATGTTTGCAATGGCTATGAATGGACAGTGAATTTATGAGGTTTATCATTCTGCGGGATTTACTGGATAATTTCTATGAACTATTTCCAGTGTGACAGGTTTGTCTTGAATATTCAGTGTCCTGTTTGTTTTACTTATACACCAGCATATGCTTCTCCTCTCTGGTTGGGTGGGCACTAATCCACAGAATCAGATTTCCAATTAAAAATAAGACATTTCTTTTATGTGAATGCATTTTTTAAAATTGTCCCTTAAGCCCCTGCCAGCAAACTCATTTGCTCAGATATTCACTGAAAACACCGAAGTCTCAGATGATTAACACAGGCCTGTACTCACTGAGCCTTGGCCATCCATCCCCAGCAGGAAAAGCATTGCTCATTTCTGTTGCAGATTGGGCAGTTGAGGCATGGGTCTATTGAATGAGCTGCCCATGGTCACAAAAAGCCAGCAGAGAAATGAGGGTTAGCAAGTGGGCATTGGATTCCTGATATCTGTTAGAAACCAAGCCTCCTTGCTACCTGACAGCCTCTTCCACTTTAATTCCTTCCCAAGGGAGATAGGCCCAGGC